TGGCGGAGGCCAACGACGTGCTGCAGAAGAACTCCAACCCCTACATCACGCCCAATAACCGGTACGGCCACCAGAACGGGGCCAGCTACGCCTGGCACTTTGAAGCCCGCAAGTCCCAGATCCTGAAGTGCATGGAGTGCGGCAGCTCCCACGACACGCTGCAGGAGCTCACCGCCCACATGATGGTCACCGGCCACTTCATCAAGGTCACCAACTCGGCCATGAAGAAGGGCAAGCCCCTCGTGGAGACGCCCGTCACTCCCACCATCACCACCCTGCTGGACGAGAAGGTGCAGTCCGTGCCCCTGGCCGCCACCACCTTCGCGTCCCCCGCCCACACCCCCGCGAGCGTCTCCCCGAAGCTGAGCGTGGAGGTCAAGAAGGAGGTCGACAAGGAGAAGGCGGCCCCCGACGAGAAGCCCAAGGAGAAGGAGAAGCCCGGCGAGGAAGAGGAGAAGTACGACATCTCTTCCAAGTACCACTACTTGACGGAGAACGACCTCGAGGAGAGCCCCAAGGGGGGCCTGGATATCCTCAAGTCCCTGGAAAACACAGTGACGTCCGCCATCAACAAGGCCCAGAACGGCACCCCCAGCTGGGGGGGCTACCCCAGCATCCACGCCGCCTACCAGCTCCCCAACATGATGAAGCTGTCCCTGGGCTCCTCGGGGAAGAGCACGCCCCTGAAACCCATGTTTGGCAACAGCGAGATCGGGTCTCCCACGAAAAACCCGACCCTGGTCTCCCCGCCCAGCAGCCAGACCTCGCCCATGCCCAAGACCAACTTTCACGCCATGGAGGAGCTGGTGAAGAAAGTCACGGAGAAAGTGGCCAAAGTGGAGGAGAAGCTGAAGGAGCCGGAGGGCAGGCTGTCTCCGCCCAAGCGGGCCACCCCGTCCCCGTGCAGCAGCGACATCAGTGAGCCCGTCAAGATGGAGGCATCCAGCGACGGGGGCTTCAAGAGCCAGGAGGGCAGCCCCAGCCCCCAGCGGGATGGGTGCAAGGAGGGGAGCCCCCCGGCCGAGCCGGTGGAGAACGGCAAGGAGCTGGTGAAGCCCATGAGCAGCAGCCTCAACAGTAGCACGGCCATCATCACTGACCACCCGCCCGAACAGCCTTTCGTGAACCCTCTGAGCGCCCTCCAGTCGGTCATGAACATTCACCTGGGCAAGGCCGCCAAGCCCTCCCTGCCTGCCCTCGACCCCATGAGCATGCTTTTCAAGATGAGCAATAGCCTGGCCGAGAAGGCGGCCGTGGCCACGCCGCCGCCCCTGCAGTCCAAGAAGGCGGACCACCTCGACCGCTATTTCTACCACGTCAACAACGACCAGCCCATCGACTTGACGAAAGGGAAGAGTGACAAGGGCTGCTCTTTGGGTTCAGTGCTTTTGTCACCCACGTCCACGTCCCCGGCAACCTCCTCATCCACCATGACAACGGCAAAGACATCTGCCGTCGTATCATTCATGTCAAACTCGCCGTTACGCGAGAACGCTTTGTCAGATATATCCGATATGCTGAAGAACTTGACAGAGAGCCACACGTCAAAGTCCTCCACTCCTTCCAGCATCTCCGAGAAGTCTGACATTGACGGGGCCACGCTGGAGGAGGCCGAGGAGGCGACGCCCGCGCAGAAAAGGAAGGGCCGCCAGTCAAACTGGAACCCCCAGCACCTGCTGATCCTCCAAGCCCAGTTTGCCGCCAGCCTCCGGCAGACCTCCGAGGGGAAGTACATCATGTCAGACCTGAGCCCCCAGGAGCGCATGCACATCTCGAGGTTCACCGGGCTCTCCATGACCACCATCAGCCACTGGCTGGCCAACGTGAAGTACCAGCTGCGAAGGACAGGTGGAACAAAGTTCCTCAAAAACTTGGACACCGGCCACCCCGTGTTCTTTTGCAATGACTGTGCGTCACAAATCAGGACTCCTTCCACGTACATCAGTCACCTCGAGTCACACCTGGGCTTCCGGCTACGGGACTTGTCCAAACTGTCCACCGAACAGATTAATAATCAGATAGCACAAACCAAGTCGCCCTCAGAAAAGTTGGTGACGTCCTCCCCCGAGGAGGACCTGGGGACCTCCTACCAGTGCAAACTTTGCAATCGGACCTTTGCGAGCAAGCATGCGGTTAAACTTCACCTTAGCAAAACACACGGGAAGTCCCCAGAAGACCACCTTCTCTACGTTTCTGAGTTAGAGAAGCAGTAGCATTCGCTTTCGATTAAAATGACCGTAATTTGCTTTGAGGGAAACTGTTGCAGGCACCTTAAGGCCCCTCCTCTGTCTTGTTCTTGGCACATGTTCTTATTTTAACTGCGGAGAATCACTCTGGGCTGGACTGTTTTGTAGAACTGTACAGTGTTTAATAGAGGTGCATAATCAGCTGTTGTTACTGGTAAAATACGAAGGTTAAAACGCAGTGGTTAAGTGTTTGGAACTTTGTGTAAATGGGATTTAGTTGTGAGCATCCCCCCCGATGCTTCAAGCTGCATGCATTAACAGACAGTTTAATTAAGCATTTATAATGAAATCGGGCACACTTTTTCCACGCGGCTCGAGTGCGCTGGCATTTCTCACCCTTTCATCTTTAGCCCTCTGAGTACTTTGAAGCACTTTTGCATTAATTTGGTTAAAAAATAAAATAAAATAATAATAATGTATGAAGCTCTGTTTTTTAAACTCCTTACCAGCTTAGTTAAAATTAATAATATGAACCTCCATTTATGCAGGTCTGCAGGGGTATAACACGCCTTGAAATTTAAAAGAATATTATTTTCACATTGAAACATAGATGTATATATTGTATAGATTTCAGACTCTCTTATGAAAAATGTGATTGTGGTTTAAATGACCTTTTTTCCTGCATTTATAGCAACAGTGTTTTATGTACCTGCCATGCTCCGGGCATAAGCCGTGCCTATGTATAGTGTATATTTCTTTTTTCTTTTCTTTTCTTTTCTTTTCTTTTTTTTTTTTTTTTAAGGTCTATGGGTTTGTTTGTTTATTTTTTTTTTACATGCAAACATTGTAAATTATACAGAAGATACCACAGATAGCATTTATAAAGTATACAGAAACATTATCTGAAAGCAAAGTATGATTGTTTGTTTTGCTATACAGTACATCTATATTGATAGAGGTTCATGTTTAAATTATACATATTTATTAGCATCATATTATCATTTGTTTTGAGCAGTCTGAATACGCGAGGCCAGGAAACAGACATCCATGGCGGGCATCATAACTATTTTGCACATGATTTTTAAAGGTATTTATTAGAAGTCAAAGAACGCGCAAAATAAACTCAGTGCTCAAAGGGTTAAGTCTATTTGAAAAGGAAAAAAAAAAAAAAAAAGAGCAACAGCAACAAAAAGAAGTCGTACTGTATCTCCTAAGCATTGATAAAGCCTTTAAAATGTTTGTACTGTAATACTTTGCTTAAAAGTCATGAGGCATTCTGTCATACAACCTCTTTCACTTATTTATAAGCCCTCTTGGTTGCTATTCCATACTGTAGGATGCCTTTTTATTTCGATTGGTAACTTTCTGTTTTGTTCTTCCTAATTATTCTCCCAAGATCCCACACTGCAGCTTTATCTTTAGGCTTATGAAAGGTAACCCGTGGTTACCGGCTCTCCAAGTGATTCTGTTCTTCTCCATTTTTGGCAGTTAATTTGCAGAAGTAACTGACAGCTGACACCATATGAGAACCTATGTATAAAATATTGGCATGTAAACAGCACAGACACTGTAACATACTCTGTGCCCTGTTTTGTTGTTGACAATGAACCACCATTATGTGACTCTTCATATAACCCTTTTTTCTACGGCAGCATTAAAATTGTCTTTTTGCTATAATTTTGTGTTGCGTTCACAATTCTGTCTGAAATGTGCTACGACTAACGAGCACATTAAAATTAAATTGTATGCGATCTGCTTATGACTGAGTCGGTTGCTGTGTCTGCCAGGTGCTGGCAGTCGGAAGCTGCCCGTAAATCAGGGGAGTTTTAGTGAACTTTGGTGTCTGGAGAGCAGGGAGCCCCCTTTGCAGAGCCGGCGTGGACAGAATTTTCCCTGAGAAGAGAACGTTAGAGAAAGGAAGACTTTCGCGTGAGGTTGGCTTCTCTCTGCGAAGGCGGTGTTAGAAACTTATTCGGGAGCGGAGCTTCGGGTCACGCCCCTGGCGACCGGCGCGCTTGGGGGCCAGGGGTTTGGTCTCCCTCCGGGACGTGCGTGAGGAGTCAGGGCCCTGAGCCCTGCAGGAGGCAGGTGTGGGGAAGACTCAGACTCGGTGCAGGGCGGTTCCTTCCTGTGGATTCGGGCTTTTCACGGAGCAGGAAACAGAGCCGCGCCGGGAAGGTGGACTCTGGGACCAGAACTTGCTCTCTGCTGTGCCCAGATAAGGAGGTGCAGGGTGGCGGTGGGGAGTCGGGGGTGGGGGTGGGACTGAACCCACACACGGGAGGAGTGGGGAGAGCATTTATATGATAATCACAAGCTTTTATTAGCCCTGGCAAATCATGCCAACAAAACGCCGGGAACATCATGTAAAATTGTAAAATACCTTTATTACTACATTCAAACTACTCTCGCAGTTATGCAGAATCAGAGCTCCTAACCTAGAATTATACAAATGAGAGATGTATTACATCCACATAATACATGAAACACCTCAACTTAAAAAAAAAAATACTCTTTTATTAAAAATTTAAATTAAACCCTTTCAGAGATGTTCGGCAACACGCCTACGTCTCTTCCCGTTTCATCCCTGCCCCTTTTGTCAAGATGAATCCCAAATTTCTGTCTGCTCTACTTTTCTCTCGGCAATCCATGTCTCTGCGAGTTTTTAGAGAGACCCTCACTAGAGTTTCAGACGGGTTTTTGGCAAATCGGGAGCACCGTGCTGGCTCTGCTCGTGCCTGGTGATCTAGCCACACAATTGCGCTGCGTCTGCAGGCGGGGCGCAGCGGGCTTTCCCTTCTGGGCGGCGGGCCTGGCTCCTTCCCCGGCTCCTCCGCGGGCCTCGTCCCTCTCTGAGTAGTGGTGTGCCCCGTGGGCCTTTACCTGGGAGGAGTGTGGCACACAATGCATTCCTCCCGGGGGCGGGGTGGGGGACCAGCTCCCCCTGGAACCCGGCTCAGGGGACAGCACCCTCCCTCCCGTGCCTCCCGCATCTTCACATCCTGGAGCCCAGATTTCCACTCTTGAATTTTTCACAGGTTAAATATAGCATCGGTTTATTAGAATCCAAAGTCCTGCGTCTAACAGATTAAACTGACAACACTTCCATCACCACCAGGCCCATGTGGCTTGAAGGGAGATAGGATTTGTGCAAGTGAGGGTGCCCGCCCCCCCCACTTTACAGTTTGGGAGAAGAACCCAATACTCTGCCCATCTCTTCCTCACCCCACCCCAGGATTATCTTCAGGCTTTTTCACTTTGGGTGTGGAAGTGAGGGTTTAGAGCCAAGGCGGGTACCAGGTGATCTCGCCCGTTGGGCACCTGGAGCTCGGCACCTGAAAAGGATGCTCGCAGGAACGGGGCCCAGGAATTAGTGTTACCTCGGGAAGAAACACAGTCAGCCGGGGAGTTGAAGGCCCTAGTCATGAACACAAACCTAATCTGGCCTAGGGACAGTCCCCCAGACCGTGCGTCCTGGGAGGAGGTGAGTATGACTGGCTAGGGCCTCACCCCATTTGGAAACGTACGGCCATTTACTCTGGAGGTCACCGCACCCTCTCGTGGCCAGAGAGTGGGCCACTGCCCGGAAGAGCCTTCCATTCCCAGCCCAGAATGACCCCGATTGTCTGGAGATAAAACGGGCAGATCTAAAGCGGCATGCTGAATCTCCCGTAGTTGTGCGCTGGTTCTCCTGAGGCTGGTGCTGGTAGAGAATGCGAGTACGGGAAGGGATGGGGCCTCCCAGTCAGGTCTTTAAACGGGCCCTGGGAGGAGGAGGGACGGTGCCAAGTGAGGGAGGTTTTAATCACAGGTGTGTAGGTGACCCCGACCTCACCCCGCCCAAGCCCAGGCTTGTTGCAGTCCTACTGTATATCTTCCAGCCATCACATTTACACAGTATCTTAAAATAACATTTGTGATAAATGTGCAATTTAACTAATTTATGGTGCTATGATGTGCTCAGGGCTACATGCAAGATGAAAATCTTAAATGGAGCTTGAACAGCTCACTTCACAACAAGAAATCAATATGCCACATCTTAGCTATTCGCTGCAGTCAACATTTAGCAAAAATATCAGTGATGTATCTTTAAGTTTTAGGCAGCAAGAATTCTATAATTAACCAAAATCGTACATAGTTAGAGAGGGTTGGTTATGATGAGGACCCAGATCTCCCTGGCATCTCCGTTCTATTTTCATTCTGCAAAAGGAAAAAAAAAAAAATATATATATATATATATATATATATATATATATATATTGATAGCCACCAAAGAGGCGCCTCTCCCCAGGGTGTTCTGCTCAGGTGGAAGTGTGAACCTCCCCAGCAGAATTCAGGGCTGTGGTCCTGATTCCTTTTCTCAAGTTCAGACCACTCCAGCTAGGTCGACTTCCCTGCCCCCAAACCCTGACCACCGACCGTGCCACAAGGCCTGGTGACCAAAAAATACTGCAGAGGAAGGGGGCCCTATTACCTATTCCCAGGGCTGGGGAGAGCTGAGCACCTTCTTGAGAGCAGAACCCTGACAGTGGAGAAGGACGGGAGCTGATGGGAAGCAAGGCTGCGTTTTGCAAATCCGGTGTTAAAACTGTTGTCTCCAGAGATTTCTAAGTCATCGAATAGGAAAGAAAGAAAAATAAATAAATAAATGATTTTATTTTTTTCAAATTCATCTGTGAAGTTCTTTTGAAATTGGAAAATTGCAATGGCATTTTATTCTGTTGACTATTTAGCACAAAAACAATACGCTTTGTATTATAGGAAGCAATCATAAAAATGAAAACACACGAACCCCAGCGCCACTCTTTAATAATAAATACTTTAACTTTAAAATAATAGCTATTATCCTTTTAGCTAATGGAGAAATTACCATTTTTACTCTGCCAGATAGTTATTCTTTTGGTAATAGAAACACTAACCTTTTTTCTCCCTAGGGATTTATTAGTAAGCACGTGTAATCTTTGGCAAAAGGAAACCTGGAAATGCATTTCCCGTGGGACCCCGTGCCAGTCGATGCCTTTCAGCCTGCAGCTGACCTCCGGAGCCACGGAAAAGGTACTCGTGCCTGTGTGCCCACGCAATTCCAGGGCGCGCTGGCCTTTGCGAAATATGCTATAGTTAGCTTCGGGAACAATCTCACTCCTTTGGGGAAGGCTTCAGCTCTGTCTCCCAGCATAAAGCTTCCGGGAAGAAAAGCTCCTTTCCGACAAGCCCCACCTTCGCGTGCGTGGCGTGCCAGCGTCATGGCAGCAGAGGGCCGGACCCCCCATGTCAGTGCGCAGGAGCGGTCCACCGCAGGGTCTTGTTTCCAGGGACGTGCTTGATTTTCCTCGCACTCCATTGGGTTTCTCCAAGCCGGAGGGAGATGCTGCTGGACTTAGAGGCACCATTTTTCTCTCCCCAAGGATTTGCCAGGAGGCCATCCCCAGGACGATTTAAAAGGCAAGCAAACCCTGTCCTGGGTGGGCTTTGGCAGTTCATCCCAAAGCACCTTTGATTTGGGACCGTGTTCCCTGCCCTGCCAAGACAACGGATGGGCCAAATTGTCGGTCCGTGGCCTGACGGTCCATGATGTCCGGACAGACAGATGGTGACTGGGTCAGGCCACAGCTTTGGACATCAGGAGTGATCTGAAGCAAAGTTAGTGGCTTCTTGAGGCTCCGTATTCGGGGCTCCGGGCCCTACCCCTGGTCCAGAGAGCCAGGTGTTTTCAAAATTAAGTCCCAATGATAGAAGATCAGAGGAACTGCTTCTCCACCACCTTTATATAATGTCATACACTAATATATCCTTAATAAATCATTCCTGATGATAATGATGATAAGCAAGGTGACCTCTTTCCAGAGATTAACGTCCACAATTAGCCACTCAGGCGTTAGGATACCCTGTTCTTTACTGTCTAACCCGTGCTGTGCAATACGGGGGCCACCAGCCCTACTCAAATTTAAGTTGAATGCAATGAAAAGCTGAGTTCTTCAGTCATACCAGCCACATTCCAAGCACTCAGTAGCCACATGTGGCTAGTGGTTACACTTTGGGGGGGCAGCCCGGATACGGAACGCTCCCGTCCTCACAGAAAGTTGGTTTGGACAGTGCTGTTTTTCCCAAGTAGGAAAGAGCTCATGGCTTGAAGATGAAAGTGTGCCTCCAGTCCTGGGTATTTCTAAGAATCCTTCCTTTGCCAATATGGGAGCAGGCAACATTCTCACGTGCTAATATCTCTGATCAAAGCCAAGGACACACATAATTAACCTTGAGCATAAAATTATAAACAGAAGTGCAGGCATCAGTGTATGAAGTTGCTGATCATCCCCCCTGCTGTGGATATTATCTGGGCTGCAAACTCCGAAGCCCAGAAATCTGATGGATGTGGCCATGACCTTGCTCTGCCCTTAGCTGGCGAACAATCCCGCGCAGTCCTTGCGCTGCTCTCTTTGCCCAAGTGGACTTGAATCCTTCTCTGGGGCTTGGGGACTCAGACATGGCTGGGAGCCTGGCCCGACTCCTAGCCCCGACGCATGAGGACCCCGAGTCCCGTGACCCCACTGGGAACCCAGCTCCTCTGCTATAGTCCCAGGTAGCTGCAGCGGGGGTGGGGGAGCGGGGGTCCATCCTGCTCTCTCTTTAAAATTTAAAATATATAAATAAGACTTTGGAAACGACTTTTTAAATTTGGGGGGGGTTTACATTTTAAAAATTAGTGCGTTTCAACATCTCACTTCCATTACTTTTTTTTTTTTTTCTTCCCACCGCAGGATTCCAGGGACACATTTATGACCGTCATAATTGTGAGTTAGAGATCTCCCAGGCCAAGTGAAATGAAATTACGAGAAACTGAAATCTGTTTTAATTGGAGCATTTATGGAAAAAAGAAGTCAGACTGGCTGCCTTTTTCCTTTATGTGACTCCCCGGTTCAGGACGATACCTGGGTCCGGAAGCCAGGGCCGGCCAAACGGCGACAGAGCGGGGAGGAAGAGAGAGAGAAAAGAGAGAGAATGAGGTAGGTGTGTCAGGAAGGAGTCATTTTCTTAGCTTAAAAAAAAAAAAAAAATGGAGGTACAGTCTCGGGAGTTCCGCCTCAGTGACCATGAAACCGAGTCGGCAAAAGCTGAAGGACCCGGCTCCTGAAAGCCTCATCAGGGCTTGTCATCGCTCTAATGAATATCATTTAAATTGCTTTGTATATTGGTGGAGTTTGGATGTCGATTTAATTTGTGCATGTGTTTGAGTTCTTCTGCTTGGCTAGGCTAACAGAGAAGCAGCCGCCTAATGAAAACTGAGTTGGTGACAGTGTGATGTGCTCCAACCCAGTCAAATGGGTTTGAAGGGCTGCAGTGACAGCCCTCAGAAGGAAGTCGATGTGGCCGGGGGGAGAGAAGGGAGGCTTGCCCGCTGGCGAGGGGACCCGCGAGGCGGCGGCCGAGGCGGCGTGGCTGGGCTGGGGACGCATGTGGCGCGGTCCTCGCCCAGCCCGGCCCGTCCGCAGCCCTTGGCCCCCTCCCTGGGGAAGGCCGAGCCCCAGGCCCGAGGCGCTGTGCCTGTCCACCCGAGGTCCATGCGGCTGTCCCCTCTCCGTGGTGAAGTGGCACGTGGATGCAGTTGCTGGGATTGGCCACCTCCCGAGCCAGGGATGTGGCTCGAGGCCCCCAGCTGAGATAAGAGGGCGTCCTCCTGTTTGGACACCCCCAAGGAAGCAAAGACCTTCTCCCACGTGGTTTTCACCCTCGCCATCCGGGGAGGGAGGCCGGCTGGGGGGTTGCTGTGGGAGCTATGTGTAAGGTGCCGCCTTCCCCGGGCACACTGTCACTCTCAGGAAAGTCAGCCAGGCTCCTGTTTGCAGAAACACTAGAAAGGCAGGCTGAGCATAAACCCAGTCGCCTGCTTCCCCCCCACTCAATCCCTTACCGCCAAGGGGGCTGTGGTTCTGGAAGGAGTTTGACCTGGGGCCGGTGCGTTTCAGTCAGGGACTGCGTGTCTGGACTCAGGGGCCTGCAGCTTCATCACGGGCTGCCCGACACCCCAGATTCTCCAGGGCAGGGGGGTAACTGAGCCACGGGGTGGGCCCAGGCCTGAGGGGTGGGGAAGGGGAGGACGAGCATATGAAAGCAGCCCCCTCCTCTGCCTTCTCTGCACTCCTCGAGGGCTGACCATTGAACAGATGGAACCTGCCTTCAAATGCTTTCTCCAGCTTCTTATTATAGCCTTCTCAGAGGTTGTCAATATTCACGTGATCAACAAGGCCTCACATAATCTGGAAAAAACGATCACAAACGACAATGTGCTTGGAGGTCTGGGCTGCTTTCTCTGCTCTCTAGACTCCCTCCAGCCCCACTCCTGCAGGAATCTGATCCAGGGGTGGGGGTGGGGGTCCCTCAAGGCTGTACAAGAGATGGACCCGTTCCCCTAAATAGACTCAAGGCGGAGATGTGAGGCGTCCACTGGAAAGCTAGCCCCTCTCTCTCTCTACCATGGAGAGACAGGGCTAGGACAGAGTGGGGCAGGGGAAGGACAGGGGGCCTGGGGCAAGGGCTCCCTGAAGGCTCTGGGAGCAGATGGCGGAGGGTGTCCAGATCTCCAGAGAGTCCTAACTACCCAGTCTGTGTAAGGGACTTTGGCACCATGGCCCATTTAGTAGTAGGGGTTAGTTTCCTAAACATGGGGACCCATTTGTCTTGAAAGAAGGTCTGAGGAGCTTCTGTGTGCCTGAGACATGAGGTGGGGCACTGGTAAGGCCTCCTTGGACCCTGCATAATTCCCAGTGGGGCTGAGCCTTCACCTCCCCACGTGATCAGAGGGCAGCTCGCCCCCCCTGGGCCAGCACCAGGAGCAAGGGAAAAAACGCCTAAGGCCCATGCTGGACTTGAGTGAGTTTGGAGCCAAGCTGGAGAAAGCAGACAAAATAGTAGTGACAAATAAATGTCAAACGTCCGAGTAAGAATGAAGATGGGCAGCAAACAAAGTGGGATTACAAGGCTCAGTCCCTGAAACATGAGGTGCCCTGGCAGGGAGCCTGTCTTTGGCGAGGCAGGCCTGGGCTGGACCTTGAGGGTCAGGTAAGTTTGGAGATGGCAGGGAGAGGAGAGCATGGGAGGCTACGGCCCCTCTTTGTGAGAAACCACCGGAAGGCCGGTGGCTTGGCTGCCTTCTGGCTACGCCTAGAGATGTTGAGGCCAGTGGCCTTAGCCTGTCACCTCCTGAGAAGCACCCACTGGATCACCTGAAATTAAGCACTACTGGGCCCATCGATGTTTTCTTTATCCATTCCAGTGTTTCTCACGTGGGGGTCTTTCTAGGATTTCTTCCACAGTTTCTCGACCACATAGGGCTTGCGAAGTGCTTATGGGCACATCTATTCATTGGCTTAATGACAGGGTCCGTGGGCTCCCTGAAGTCCACGCACGGGCCGTGGTGGTGGGTCCCTCCTGCTGCCTTCCGGAACTTGTAACGCACAGGGCGCCCCTTCCTTCCCAGGCTTGGGGGTCAGGAGTGCTTGTCGAGATGCTGTTGGCAAGAATCGGTTCAGGATCTCAAGCGAAGAAAGGAAGTGTGGCCCAGGTACATGAAGTCCGAGCAGAGTGGCGTCAGCAACTGCTGGACATAGGTGCTTCAGTGATATCCCAGGAAGCTCTCCCTCCCTGTCTCTCTGTTTCTCTGTCTCTATCTCTGTTTTTCTCTCCCTCTCTGTCTGTCTCTATCTCTGTCTCTCCCCCCGCCTCTGTTTCCCTCAGTTTCTCCCTCTCTCTCTCTCACTCTCTCTTTCTACCTCTGTCTGTCTGTCTCTCTCTCCCTGTCTCCTCCCACCCCTCTGTCTCAGCTTCATGCTTGGGCAGTTCTCCCTTCAAGGTATGACCTGCTCATAGGTTCTGCTCAGCGACCTTGAGGGGAAGGAGCTTCCTGTCACCATGGTGGGAGCCAGCACTTTGGGTGGCCAGGATTGGGTCTTTCCTGGACAACAACTGTGATTCTGCTCAGCATGGTGGGGGGGGTGTCAAAGGTTCACCTCAACTTGGTTCCAGGCCCAAAGCTGCAGTCCTTCCTCTGTTGCAAGGTCAGGTTCAAGCCGTACACTTAGGGTTCAAGTTTGGGGTGCAGATGGCTCTGTCTACAGGTTGGTAGATGTTTCTCTTTGTATCTTGAGTAATGTCTAGAGCCTCAGCTTTGCCAAGGGGGTGGTGAGCTCCAGTGAGG